TGTGCAGATCCATTAGAGCTTATACTTGCACAGTGCTGATGCCACACTTTGCAGAATGAAACAGATGTTCCTAACAACTACTTAAATGCACACTGAAAATTAATAGAGCCCTAATGTGTGTGAGGATTACAGAAAAAGGGATACTCAACGTTCCTTTACTTCAGATCCTTCTTTTTTCCCACTATAACTTCAAAAGGTGTGATTTCTGGATGTGTCTATGAGAACTCTTTGCCTTCTATCTTAATTTTCCTTTTAGTTTGAAGATGCTATCACTTGCAAGGCAGCCACATCAATGTGAGGATCATGTTTATGTGTGTTAGTGATTTAAGGAAAAGATTACAGCAGCTCATAATCCTCTCATTGCTATTATAGGTTGTTAGGTAACTTCTGATGTCATCTGTAGAGGCATTGTGCCTCAGTAACTCAACAAATCAAAGAAAAACATGTACCAAATCAAAACACATGCTTACTTCCTATTTGTGTGGTAATGAGGTAGGCCATGTTCTGAACTCAGATGTACTATATTCATCTATCTTTTTAAACTTTGTTAGTAAACATACCTGTCTTATAGGGGATGTTATGCTGTTATCCGTCTTGCATAAGAAAAATGAAATAGCCAAGTGCTATATGACATTCAGTAACGCTCGTTTACAGTTCTCCTCAATAAAATGGCATTCAAATCTATAAAATGTAGGTCTCTACTCTCTGTTCATTGAGAATGAAAACAGGAAATTAAACTCAGAAGAAGCTGGAGATAAAATGGTCAGAGGGGAAGAGGATTCTGGATGGGTTATCTTTATTTATATTAAGAGACTTAAAGGCAGGATTAAAACAGGTAGTCAAAGAACGTGCATGGTTGCCAAACAAATAAAATGGAATATCAGATCCATGTGGCAGCATATGTGGCAAATAAATGGGAAGTCTGGATTCACATTAAACAGTCTGTAAATAATTACTAGGAACCAAATGTTCTAAAATAGGTAAATGAAGAGTATGTCACTGGAGAAATAATAATGCTTCTACCTGTATTGATGTACTTTCTGAATGTACACATTTAATAGATTATGTTCCCAGTACTTTTTCTGCTGGCACATTGTATCTGTGAATGTGAATATATTTGCACCTCCATAAACCTTCTTTCCAGTAGCAATATCACAGTACCACAGCCCACGTAGGAGTTACGGCGCCAGGCAACATTTTAGTCAGTGTGACAGGAAGTTCATGTCCCCTTAAAACCATCTTAGTTTTGGAAAAACTATACTTTAAAGTAAATCCAATTAAGAAACTTATTAGAAATCATATAATAACTGCATAGGTTTAATGTTGAGCCTAAAGAGGGAGGGTTTAGAGAATACAAGTAATTACTAACTTGTTCCATAGTTAACCAACCCAATACTGGGTCTGGTTTACTAATAGTGAAATGCCAAGGAGGATCAAGTTGATCAGCAAGGGCAGAAAATACAGCAGGAACAGGAGACTTGGTTGCTTGTATGCAGATTGTACAAATGTTACACCCAGATGTAACACAGAGACTTCTTAGACATTTTCAGTGTCTCTTCCATGGAACAGCTTGTTAGAAAGCCCACAGGGAGACTAACAACTTTTGACTTCACCCTGAGTAACATTTCAGGTTTGAAATCCCATGTTTGAAGAGCCATTCCGTGACAACTGCCTTAACATACTTGGATGCAGTACGATTACAGGAGCATCAGCAGCCAAAACATGCAGCAAATTTGCCCTCAGTTTCAAAAAGAGGAACTATGTAAAAATTTGAGAGTTTGTTAAAAAGTAACTTTAAAAGTGCAGCTAATTTGAATTCTTAGAGGCATGTAGGAAGCTATTTTACGATGCACATTTTAGAAACTCAAAGTCTACATGCACTTTTAAGGAAGGCTTGAGAATGGGCAAAAGGGAGACAGCACCAGTAAACAACAGGCTAAAGGAGGTTATTAGAAACAAGAAGCAATACTGAAATGAAAACAAACAAGCAAACAAAAAATAGAAAAGCCACCTATATTCCTGCAGATTAAATGTCAGAAAAGTTAGATTGGGTGTCCCATCTCTCCCTCCCCCCAAGGGAATCAAAGCTAGTAATACATTTTTCTTCAATCCTTAGGGACAGAAAGTGTGGGCTAATTGATAACCATGGTGTTAGCAGGAATACTCAAAGAAAACCAGACTGTTGCAGAGAAGTCTATAAACTATTTGAGTCAGTGTTCACCAGTGGCTATGCTAAAAATTGAAGACATTTTGAAGAGAGAATGGCTGAAACTAATAAAATGAACAGTAAGAAGCCACTAGGACCAGATGGAAATTACTAACCGGTGTGTGTAATTACAGTTTTAAAGGTGTACTGATACCTGGTGTCTGCAGGATGGCAAATGGGATGTCAGTTTTTATAACGAGTTCCATAGGAGATGGGGTGCCTGACAAGCTGGGATGGGAATTCTGGTCTATCCGCCTTGCAAGTCAGTAGAAACAATGTTAGGTGGCAGTGTTTAAGGCCAGGTCGGACGAGGCCTTGGGTGATATGATTTAGCGTAAGGTGTCCCTGCCCACGGCAGGGGGGTTGGAACTAGATGATCTTAAGGTCCTTTCCAACCCTACCAATTCTATGATAGAACTAGTAGACTCCTGAATAAATGTAATCTTCTTGGAAGAGTCAACATTACTTCTGTAGAGGGCTATTCTGCCTTAGGAATGTATTGAATTCCCTGAAAAGTCAACCTCCATGTGGAGAAAAGTGACTTATATAGTCTTAGTCGCATTTTCAAGGGGTAACTCATCTGCTTTGAGGAGATAAGGGGATGCATACCTGTCTGAAGCTTCTGGAATATTTATCTCCAATCACACATTTCTCCCCTAAAGAGCTGTTCCTCTAATCAGTTCCCAAACCCTTCTTTAGGTACCTGGTTCCCTTAAAACTTAGTACTGAATAAGATACATCTCAATCACTGTCACCTCCTTTAACTTTTTCTGGTCTCAGGAATGTAACTTCTTATTGCTTTTCTGTCATGAAATGAGCAATTTTGTCCTGACTTTGGGAAGTCAGGATTTCAGGGGAGAGAGCTTTAAAGGATGGATTTCTAGGGAGGATTGAAAGCATTTTAACCACTATAATTGCAAACAGTCTGTTCCTCATGCTGTGCCTCCATTTCTAGGTCACCCTGAAGAAGGGATAGTACATTAATGTGCAGGAACAAACCTGGTCTCAAAGCCTGAAAACACCCTGCTTGCTAATGAAGTTTTTAGCAGGTAAAGCGGAATGGATGTGTGCAGATCTCCTACCAGACCTTCTGTGACAGGAACATTTCAGATGGAAAATGAAACGCCTCTCTCTGGAGTCTCACAGGAATTCTGCACTGCCACAGCCTTTTCTCATGGAATTAACTTACTGTTACTCCTCTGGCACTGCTGTATTTCTACTATTCATCTGATCAGGTGTCATCTTTGCTCATGAATATGAGCTAAAAAGCTAAAATGTCAGCTCTGCTGCACTGCTTAAAGATCTTACTTCTTAAAATAGCTCCATTTAAATTTTAGACCCTTTTTATGAATTAGGAGTGCTGTGGCAATTCAGATATCCTTTACAGCCTTCCAATCTCCTGTGGAACCATCAGAAATGTCATCTGTGGTAGGTCTCATTTGTGATTGATTTCTGCAAGGCTTTACCCTGCTGCTTGCACAGTAAACTGATGGTTTTCTTCCACAGTGGAGTGAATAAATTTCTCAGAACTTCTAATTAGTTAATTAATTGAGGGCCAAGGGCTGGGGAAATTTAGCTGCTGCAACCGCTATAGTTACTGTAGTCAGAAACACAGTTCTGACTGGTTGTGGAAAGAGACTGAGTCAGCTAAAAACAGTGGACCAATACATCAGCTGTGTCAAGACAAGTTTTAGTTTCAAAATAACAGCCCTTCTATCTTTATCTTTTCCTCTCTTTGAGAGGGCTCCGCCTTTCATGATTCTTATACTGTCCAGGTCCCTGATGAAGGTGATCAAACCAGGTGTCCAGGGCTTGGCAATTTGATCATAACAGTCAGAGCTTTAGCACCCTTTGTCGTCAAACCTGTCTAATCCTTCTTTGGCTGGAGAGCACCTCTCCCTTCCGTTCTCCCACACACCTCACGTGGGCTCTACTGACACGCCTGGGAAGTTGGATGTGATAGTGTGGGATTCCACTGCTGCATCCTTTCACAAGAAAAAGGAGGTCTTAGATGGTCTGGGTCAGCCTACCTCTGTTGACTGATGCTTTCCTGCAGAGCCAGGAAAGAAAAAGGAAAAGATGGGAAAGTTCCTCTCACTTCTTATCCTATGAACTCCTATTTCCCTGGTCAGGGAAAGCATCCCACCTTCTGGCTTCATTCACTGCCGTCCCACACCTCCCTGCAAGTAGTCCAACTGTACCGAGGCACAGTCAGCCTCACACTTCTGGTGTGCTGGCTTCGTGATGCCAAACCACATCAGCCATCAGGCTGGTGAAGAAGCAGCTTTCTGTTGGCCACTGGTTTTTTTGCCTGAGATGGCCAGCCATGTCGCCGTCCAACTGAGAGCCAAGTCCCGTGGAGGTGGAGTCGGCGAAAGATGGAGTTGAATGGAACAGATAGGGTGATGTGAAACGCAGACTCGGTCTGCAGCAAGCATCGGCTGCCGTGCCTTCACATCGGTGCCCAGCAGCACCAGCTCGCGCGGACAAACTACACAGGCGTCGGGCCCGGTGCTGGGGGCGGGAAGCGGGCTATAAACCAGTCCTTACGGCGCCGGGCACCTCCGGTATGGTTACACACCTACCGGCATGGCTACACACGTGTATGCCCCGCACGCACCCCGGGGGGCGGTACCGCCCGCCGCAGCCGCCAGGGGTCGCCGCTCCCGCGGCGCTGCCCGCTTTTTCCGCCACTGACGGCGCCTCGCCGGGAGCCCCCCTTCTCCCAGCATCCCCCGCGCTCAGCGACTACAGCTCCCGGCAGGCACCTGGAGCAGGTTAGGGCCCCACGGCCGGCACCTCCCCTCCCCCTTCCCAAACGGCCGCCGGGCTCACGTGACTTCCGGGCAGCCAATCGCGTTTGAACTTTGGTTGTTCATCCGCCCGTTCCCCCGCCCCGCGGCGCTCCTGCGATCAGACCGATCTAAGATGGCGGCGGTGGAACCGGTGAGTGTCCCATTCCCTTCTCCCGCCCGTCTTTTTCCCTCCTTCTTCTCACTCCCTCCGCCGTCGCCTCCTCCTCGAGTCGCGGCTCCCACTGGCCGCGGCGGGAGGAGGGGCGGTGGGTACCCGGCCGGTGATGGGGCGGGAGGCGGATGGGCGGCGAGGAGCGCACGCACGCAGGGGGACGGAGCGGGGGGAGGGGGAGCGGGAGGCGCCGGCCTGTGCGGGGGAGGGGGACTCGGAGCTGTGCCGGCTCCGCCACGCGGGGCGAGGGGTCGCTGGGCCGCGCCGGCGGCCACCCTGGGCGGGCGGCAGAGAGGGAGAGGGAGGGCCCGGCGCGGCCTGCGGGCCGGCGGTGCTGGCTGCTGCCGCCGCGGCGCCCATTGTGCCGCGCCCCGCCGCCCGGCCCGGCCGCCCTGGCGGCGCTGCGGCATTGGGGGACGCTGGGGCCGGAAGGCGCGGCGAAGGGGAACAGCCATGGGCGGCGGCGGCCCGGGCGGGCGGCTCTGCGCCGCGCTCGGCGCATGTGGCGAGGTGGGGGTGGCCATGTTGCTTTTCGCCCGGAGGGTTCGGGTTGCCGGTCACCGAGGGGCGGCTCTTCCTCGCCGGCCGGCGAGCGCCCTTCCGGCAAGCGGGGAGCGTTTGGAGCAAGGTCTCGCGGTGAGGTAGGCGCGGTGCCCGAGGGGTTGCGGTGAGAGAGGCATCGCGGATGTGGGGTGAGTATCGGTGAGCTGGCAGATGCGCTGCTGGGCAGTTGGGCAGCTGAAACGAGAGAACAGCGTGGGGTTTCTGAAGGATCAAGGCGTGTCACAAGCGAAATTGGGTTTTTCCGGTCACGTCATCTGGCTGGAGCAAGATATATTTTTTTTGTGTGTTTTGATGTTATTCGAGATCTTGATTGTAATTAAGTACTTTTTGTCTAGGTGGTAAGTTGTGTTTATGATTTTATGCTCTATTTTCTAAAGATTTCCCCCATTTGTACTACCATAGAGAGCTGAATTAGCTGGAAGGGGCCCAAGTACAGTTGTTGTTCCATGCCCGTTTATCATGAGTGGACAGCAGAAGACTGTATATTAGAGTTTAAAGAAAATGAGAAACTTAAGGAAGGGTACTGCTTGCCAGTGTGTGTTTTGGACAGGCTTTGCACCGTTTAGACAGAAAATGTTTAAGTTTGAAAATAACTGTTTTAAAATAAAGCTTACCATTTTGAATGGGGGACTTTGATCCTCCTCTTACGATTTTCCTCCATGAGCAAAAAACAACGCCCCAGAACAAAACCAAAACAAACCAAAAAACAGCAGCATTAGTTACAGGAGGAGACTGAAATTGGTCAGCGTTTATAAATTGCTTGATGAGTAGTTCTGAACAGGAAGAATGTCAGTTGTTTAAGACACTGGGCTGGACTGCCAGCAGCATCCTTCGCATGTTCTCCAGTCACAGTGCTAAACACTTGTTTTTCCAGCTGTAGCCCAGGTACCTGAAAATGAGGGCTTCCTGTTAGCTCAGTGCTTTGTGTTGGCTGTGGGGTTCGCAGCAGGGGCTGTGATAAATAATTTTCAATACCATCAGCAATCAGAATGACTCTGTAGGTATGAGGACAGGTTTGTGGCTTTCTTGGCTGTGGTTTTTTTATAAGTCTGTCTCTGCGCCATTCTCTCTGTTGCATAAATGTGAGGTTGCATGTTAAGCTACTGGGCATAGTGTAGCAAAAAATAAACAATTTTTTGCTGTGCTGTTTCCCTGGAAGGTTGGTTTCCCAGATCCAGTTCACCATGCAGTGACAAACAGGTGTGCTGAGCCAGTAAAGGTGGAATATGGGGTACCCTCACAACAGTTTAAGTAATGCTGTTGAATGTTCTGCCCTAGCTGAAGTAGATTTGACTTCAAGAAGCAAATGTCAGCTATGCTTCCTTATTTTTAAATGTAAATAATAAAATATTTGTTTATTGCCCTCTTAGGTGGCTCACGCTTTTCCTGCCTAAGCTTAAATTTAGACTTGTGTAGTGACTGAGGTCATAGATGCCTAATGTTGCAGAAATATTATACATGCTTTTCAATTGAACAATTTAATTATATGTGTGGTTAGACACTGAATTACCCTTTGATCATAGAGAAGTATTTCTGTTGCTGACCTTCAAAATCCGGAGCTATATTTTTAGAGATGTCATCTGTGATTCTTTCCAAGTGTGAAAATGTGCCTGTTTTCTTGAAATGTAGGGTCCTACTGTGATGTTTCTAGTACTTCCATGCTCTCAAATGTAACACACCAGAACTTAAAATGTAAAAGGCTGGAAAAAAATGTTGAAACTCTTCAGGAATATTGAAACTTGAGTTTAGGGTACTGAAAAGAGTCCAGTGGAAATTGCTAAGAAAAGCAAGATTATTGTAAATAAATATCAACCTGTTGCACATTGGTTTACTTCACCACAGAAAAGACGTAAGCCTCTGCAACACTGAGAAGTTAAAACTTTTTTTTTCTTGTGCTGACCAGACTTTATGTTTTAAGGCTATTTTTGTTGTGAATATGCAGAAATGTCCTATTAGTGTGTGCTCATATTGTAGCCTTTAAGGATTGAATGTGGTTGGATAACACTGTGCGAAAGTCCACAAAGTTGTCGACAAAAACAGCAGTAACGCTTTAGTAAACACTAGTTTACCAAAGGTGACTTTAAAATGTAGCCTGTAACTTCTAAGTGGATATAAATCATGTGGAATCTGATCCCTCATTGTTCAGATTGGAAGTAGGAATCATGGTTCCTTTTTTTTTTGCTTTGTGACAGTTACCATTACACTTGCACAAATGTAATTCCTGTGAATTTAATGCTAGATTTTAAGATACATGACTGAAACTTCAGGCATGTATGATTTGAAAAATGTTTATTGCAACAGCTACTCAGAACTTTAAATGAAATGGGGGCTACAAACTCTGTGTAGGGCCTTGAAATTCTGGAAAGTTCAAAATAGTTCCTAAAACTCAAGGTATACTGGAAGGTATTTTTTTTGTATTATTCACAGTTAACATGTAAATTAAGTGCAGGCCATGTCAACTTCAGACTTACTACTAGGTATTGCTGTTGTAATAAAGTCAATGACCTGTTATGGTTGAAACCAGTATAGTATTTAGCTGTAGTATTGTGAACACAATTGCTTGCTCATTACATTTTCCTGAAATTATAGAGGATAGATGTATCTTCCATGCTGTTTAATAGTTGGGAATGTCTGTCCTGAACTTTCAAGCTGTAAATTGTATTCCTGACTGAACAAAAGCTTTCTCAAAGGGGGGAAGATGTTGGACAGATCTTAAATTTTGAGATAAAACATATTTTTCTGAAAGCAGTTTCTTAAAAACATTTCACACAGCATATAAAATGTCAAGCTCTCTTCAAGGTAGTGCATAAAAATAGCATGTGAGACCGAGTCATGTTTCACTGCCTTGCAGGTGTGGAGGTACATGTGGAATTTTGATCAGAAAATGTGGCCCTTCTGGCAGCTTTATGAAGATCAGTGTGAATTTTGAGAGGGTAGAGGGGAGGATCAGATGAAAGGTGTTGGTAGAGAGCCTGCATTGTGAAAGAGAAATGCACATTTTAAAAGTGAATTAATGTAACTTTTCCCTCAAGCAATTTTATATCACTTTTGAAATATTCTGGAGTCAAGGCTAAACAGAAGTTAAAACAATTTTTAACCTAGAAACTTCAAGCTTATTTCTTAAAGCCCTCAAATGTATTTCTCTAAATGTTCACCTTATAAAGGTACTAGGTATGTGATCTACAGATTTAAGTGTGCTGTGTAATACAAGTGTGTTTTGTTAGCTGCCTGAAATTGGCACTTGTCCTTGATTCTTATATAGTAGATGCAAGGCATAAAAATTTTAACTGTTTAAAGGTATATTTTTTTTTCCTAAATGTGCAGAGCAGTTTTTGAAATGAATAAACTTCTAAACAGTGGTCAGTTTTTGTCATGTTCAGTGCTGCTTATCAAAGTAGCTTGGGTACATTAAACACCATAATCAGGAATACCAGTAGCATGTCCAGTACTTCATCCCTCTGACCCTGGAGGAAGTGTGTGACTCCTCTACTCCAGTCTTACATTCCTATACTTCTGTACATGTGTTGTACTTCTAATTTGGTGGGATATCACTTGGTTAAAATCATGTCACACTTTTGTTTTCCAAGTAGTGAATGCCTTTCTAAAAATCTGTGGTGTTCTAAGTAGTAATGTATGCAGTTAGGGTGGCTGCTCTGTATGAGGTCTTGCTATGTTACACCTAAAAAAATCTAGCTGTCCTGATGTCTGGAAATCTAGTAAATGCTGTTTAATCAGTGACAGGCGCATATTGGTACCTCTCTTCCAGTTGGTACTCCACATGTGATTTCTAGCTCTGTGTATTTATTCCTCAAGGGTTGTGTATCAGATAATACTTGGTTTGTTTTTTTACAGCACATAATAATTGCTTGTAGGTGGGCTTAAATCCTTTTTTGTCCAGAGTATTTTGAAATAAATAGCTCTTTATTTGTCTTGTGAGTTGTTATCTTAACTGTAGTGTAATAGCAGTTATTACAAAGAACACTAGGACCAGCAGATAGTTGTGCTTTTTCCCTTGACGTCTGTTAACTGGGACATGTAGTTTTCTCATTCTCTTGAAAACCGTAAACGAGGTATAAACTCTCAAATGTAACATATTGATTTAATGCATGAAAACTTTGGAAGCCTCTTCAACTAATACATTTTCTCAACTTTCACAAGGAATGAACAGCAGTGCTAGGCTGTATTATGTCCTTTTGAGCCATAAATATTGTGCTGTCTCAGCTGGACTTCCTAACCAACTTCTGTAGGCAATTGGATGACATGAATGTGGTCTGGGCAGTACCTGACAACACTCGGTGAAATCTAGTCAAGCTTGTTGTTTTCTTCAACAGACAAACCTGATTAAGCAGTTTTTACTGTAAGTGCTGTTTGTTTCCTGTCTTGGTATCGTGTACACCTTCCTTTGATATGTTGGTCATTATGTGCTGTGGAGAAAGAATAAATTAAATTCTGTTAACATTAAATCCGCAAGTGTCGGAATCCAAGTAATGTGCAGATATGCACAGTCATTAAAGCTGAGTAGGCAAATGTTTCATGGACTTCTGCAAGCTGATTCCTACATCAAACCCCATGTGGTTAGTAAATAAATGTTACTTTTAATTACATGCTGTCTTGTGTATGAGAAGTAGGATTGTCCAAATGAAGCTTTCCAGTTTATCTGGTAATACTACCCTATATTACATCTATTTTAAAAGCAGCATACCATGTGGTGGCTTAATTTAATAGGAGATGCAAAGTCAATTTTAGGTTAAAGAATGCTTTAGTTAAATGCAATAGTAAAGTATTAGGGAGGATTTTAAATTTAGTAGTCCAGAAACTGCTGGTGGAGGAAGTCTGACTTAGTAGTAAGTTAATAGTGTAGCAGTTGTAAGATTTCAAGGTATGCATTGGCAAACTGTAGACAGTATAACTTTAACTTACTTTGTATTTCTTGAATCTTTTAAAACCTGCATGCTAGTGGTTTGGGGGTAGAATTTCACTGGAAGGCGGTTGGATAGAAGAAATGGACTTTGAATACCAATTAGTGAACTTACATACTTTGTATTTGACTTAATAATGAAGAGTGTTTTGGTATCCAAACACTTTACCCTGGTGGTCAGAATAGTGAGATAAAGGTAAGATGAAAGGAAATAGGAGATGATATGATTAAACAGCCAAAAGTGAAAGTGGTCCTTTTCCAGTTTTCCATGGTGGCAGTGGGAAATAAAAGGTAGTGAAAAAAAGGTGCTTTAGGCTGCTGTCTGAGACCAGCCAGAAAACTTCTGTGGTAATAAGCTTTGCTTCCAACTTTACACCTTCTTCCAGCTTTATTCTTGTGTGTACAGCTGCCCTATTCTTCATGAGCAGCCTGGCACTGTGGAAAAAACATCTCTTCTGGCTGGGTTAGGTTTTGAGGGGAGCAGCGTAATCCTAGGTCAAGATCATAGTTAGCTGGGCCTTGGAGGCAAGTTGTCATGTACTGTTTTAGACAGGAGCTTGAATTAATGTTAGTCTTGAGTTTCCTTAATGTTAGGTAGCTTTCAGGATATTTTAAGGGACTTGTTATTGTGGTGACTTAACTAAAATGTTTGTGCTGAGTCAGATGCGTTCCATTTCTCCAGGAAGAGACTTTCATGTGGTAATGAAGGGCAACCTGCAGTATACTGAGCAGGTATTGAGGTTTACTGCATTTTTTTTTTCTCCTAATTGACTGGATGTACTACCTTAATCCTTTTTTGATGTTGTCTTGTATTAGAAGTTAAGAAATGGCATAGCCCTGCTTGTGCTCAATAGGTTTTTATTCATTCTTACAGTTTTTATAGTTACGCGTCTGGAAGAGTGACCAGGGAGACTTCAGGATTAGCTCTTTGTATATTGAGAGTTGTTTGTTGAGCAAGCATGAATGGGATTGTCAACTGAAATTATTTTTGAAAGATGCTCTGCATTGGTCAAGGGTGAGTTTATTTGATGTGAGAATCTTTAGTGTAATAGTATTTGTAAAACATTTTAAATATTAGATGTCACAACTGCAAAATACTGTGAATGAAAGCAAGTTTCATTACATAAACTAGCACTTAATTTACTTCAAAATAGCAACAAGATTTTTCTAGTCTGCTCACTATATTTGCACATGTAATATTTCTGACTCTTCTAGTTAGAAGCTCCTACAGGGGCAGCATTTGTAGTTTGTACTTGGCTTTTTGTAGTATAATACAAGCAATTAACTTGGAGGAAATATTGAAGTGCTGCTTTGGTGTATTTATAGCCTTTGTGCCTTGACCACCTTGATTTGTTCTGTGGGTTCTTGTACATGGTTAAAGGGAAAGATGTGTATTTGATACCATCAACTTAAAAATAAATGGGGCAGCACTGGAAGTCTTAAACTAGATAGAATTGGAAGCACTTACTAAGTTTGTTTTTAAAATCTGTTATCCTTTTTATAGTATTACACTGCAGGAGATTTGGCAGATTGTTCAACACTGCTTCTGTGGGTTTGTCAGTGATGTTTCCCATTAGAGGATCTTTGGAAAGCATTTAGCTTTATTAAGAGGCAGGAAATTGTACTACCTGCCCCTTGTAGGGTGTAAATCAAAGCACTAGCCCTTCAGTCTTTTCACTGTGAACATGGGAGCATATGAAGCATTCTTAAATATGATGCACATTAGCTTTTGAACTGAGGTTGTTGTTTGTTTTTTCCAGGTGAGCTGTTAAACTAAAGTGCACTTAAGTATTTTCAAGTGTAGAGGTGTAACTTCTCTGAAGTAAAATGTAGTATCCTGCCTAATGTTGGTAAATATGTTGATAATGAAAAGAAAATCCTTATTAAGACCTTTACGTGTAATCAGAAGAGCTTGCCAGCTGGGACGGAAGGTTAAACAGTGCTTGTTCAAGTTATCACTTCACATCCATTCTACTTTTCAGCAGCTTTGGTGATGAAAAGCTGAGTGCCGGATAAACTAAGTAACATGCAAGTCTGGAGTAAAGTGTTCCATTAATTAGATGACTTGCCATAACTTAGTCCACCCCTACATTGCTTTATTCTCTTAAGGCCACAGGCTTTAACTTTGAATTACTACTTTTGTTCTGCTGTGTTTAGGAATGTCTAGAGTCTTTGGGTCTGTTGTAGTTAGTGTTTGTTTATATTACCAAAGTGTTTTTTCTTTTTGCAGAGTCAGCTGCAAGGTACAGGCATTTTTGTCTTGGCTGTAGGGAATGAGCTATAGTCCTCGTTCCTTGTCTCTGATATTCTAGCATGTATACAACATTATTGAGAGAGATAGATGGTGGTAACTGGTGGGGACACTTGGCCTCACAATAAAGCTTTGTGTTCCTTGGTTTGAAGGAAGGGCATTAGAATTTCAAACATGATAAAATAGCTTCTCAGACTGAATGGCAACCTTGAGGGGGATGCAGGGGGAATATATATTGTTTCACTTCTCTGTTTATTTGTGTATATTTGACATCTCTGCCACTATCTCTAGAGGTTGGCTAACATAATACCTGGGACTGGTCTAATCTGTGGTAGATGTGTGATTATGTTTATTTCAGTTTAAAATTTGAGAAGTGATACATGTTTGAATTTTGCTGTTTGGTGCCTGAAGCTTTGGTGGTAGAGGTGCTGCATATACAAAGATAACTACTTACCAGTTGGGGTTCTAGCTGCTTGTAACAGCTGATTTCATACCTGAGCATTGTAAGCATGTCTCCTGTTTGTAATAACAGATCTTGTTAAATAAAAGGGCCTGTACATCTGTTTACAGTGGTGCTTTGTCAGAAACTGATATTTTCCCCTTCTGAAATTATTATTGTGGAAATTAATTTTTAGACGTGTGTATTCTACATAACAGCATATTGTGTATTTCTGAGATAAATCTCAATTCTTCTGGAGTAAGACAAATAAGTAAACCATTTTGGAAACAAATGACATGGGGAAACAAATCACTGAACAGCAGAATGTGAATTCCTGCAGTTAGAATTTGTTGTAGGACCTGTTTAGATGCTGAAAGGAAAAAGGGATGCAGATTGTGAATTTGGGATGAATTGGAGGAACCCTTAGGTTCAACCTTCTTAGTTGCTTCAAAGAACTAAATTACTTCAATAAAAACTGAGAAGGAACATACTAATAACTCCTTTCTTCAAACAGGAAACCACTCCCAACCCTCAGCCTTCAGAAGAAGAGAAAGCTGAGCCAGCAGCACCTAGTCAGGAGGTTGCCAGCCCTGAACAGTATATTAAGCATCCACTACAAAATAGGTAAATACTGCAGAAGTATGATTGTAATTTTGCTCAAGATAGAATAATGCCTGTAGCTTTACAGCTGTCTTACTTACCTTATGCTTTCTAGCAGAATTCTTAGAGTTCTCCATTTTTTGAAGGTTTTTGCTGTGAGGTTGCAGAGGAAATAGGATCTGATCCTGTTGTAATTTAGAGCCTTTTCATGTAGTGTTGTTACAGAAGTTGAAAATCTTTACAGATTTTCAGAATGAAGTCAGGTAATTAGAAAGAATGTGGCCTAGCTTTTAGTTAGAGGCAAGCAAAGCTTTTGTTGCTTTTGTCTCCTCGTGTCTGTTAAGAGACAGACACTGAGAGGAAGTTGCTGCCAAGCAGAACTGCAAAAACTTCAATTCTGCCTTGAACTTCCAGCAGTTAAGGTGCCAGTGGTAATGAGCTGCCATTCTTTTTTCTTACTGGAGTCTTACTCTTTTGTATCTCTACCATTTTTTCTCCTATTTGGAACTGAAAATAGTAGAAGCTGCATTAACCAGCCGAAGAGCTTATTAGACTTGATCATATGAATGGTGGTTGTTTGCAGTAATAGTGTTTTCATTATCTGTAGAAGGAACAGAAGAAACCCTGTTAAATGCAGATGTTCACATTTGTACCACTGTGTTACTAAGTAAAAACTGTAGGGCACTTAAATTTTCTTGTTTATAAAGAAACAAACATGAAGCAGTAGTTTAAAGTATAGCTAAAAAAAATTACTGAAAAATCAAAGCCCACTTACTAAATTGTGTTCAGAGTGCAAAACCACATCTACTATTCAGCTTTTTACTGACCTGTAGAAATAATGAGAACTTTACCCAGAAGCTTTGTATTCAAAAATCTCAACTTGAACCACCTTTCTGCAGTAAGGGTATTATAAGCCTATAGGTTGAGTTTCTTCTAATGTGGACAAAAGTTTCTCCAGCAGCATGCATATACTTAAAAAATCACCGCTAGGAAGTTTTCTCCAGTTAAGCTGAAGAGCTGATGCAGTGCTCGGTACTTGATGTTGGTAGTTAGGTGCTGCCCAAAAATGAACTTTTTATTAAATGGCACCTTACTCTTTTTCCAAGACTTGAGCAAGTGTGGAAGACCACAACACATGTTCCCTTGTTGTCTTTCTTTCAACTTTGATCCTTTCTTTTTTCCTCAAAACACTTTTATTAAATTGATGCTGATACTCCTTTACAAGTGATAGTAGGGCTGTTAATGGAAAAACACAAACCTATTAATGTTTGAAATGTCAGGAAAGATGTCAGTAATAGATTGACACTTGGTGCTCTGCCTTGACAAGGCAAGCCTCTAGTGCAAACCTGAGTGATTTCAACACTACTGAAACCATCTGAATGAAAAATTAGCCTTTTTTTGTTTAATGCCTTATCAGGTATCCTGTTCCAGCATTTTGAACGATGCTTTTTAGATCCAGAAAAGGCAGCTTTGTGTGAAAATGCAGTGTGATTTGTACTCATGAGAGATGATGAAGAAAAACCAGATGGAAAATTTTTCATTTTAGATTAAAAATGTGCATAACTAATGCGCAGACTTAAAAAAATTTTGAAACAGGTAAAATTGGTGTGTTTGTTTTTTAATTGTTGCCTTTACTAAGCTTAACACAGCTTCCGTTTTAAAATTTATGCTCTCCTATTATGTGAGTGCTTGGGAAACTCCCCTGTCATGTATAGCTTTGGAGTGATATAATTAGCTTTTGTAAGCTTTACAAGGAAATTACTGGAAAGGGTGCTGTGCTCCTAGGTTGAATAGTTGATGGTGGTTTAGACCATAATCAGTTATTTGTGGTCAGGGATTGCAGTTAGCAGTGGCAGCAAGGAGAAACCTCTGAGGCTTAGAGGTTTAGAGTCTTAGAAATGCTCCAAAATTATTTAAAATATTTTCCTAAGCAGATTGATGAAATATTCCATGATTCTTCTAATGGGAACACGAATATTGTCGATATTGATATTGTTGATATTGTTGTATTTGAGAACTGACTTTCTAAGTTTTCTTACTGATAAAAACTTCTGTGCTGTTAAGGTTTGCAATTAGTTTGGCTATAACATTACAAATAATGAATTATATATTTAATGTATTTTAATTTATAGATGCTATTTTATTTTGTTTCCCTTTAGATGGGCACTCTGGTTTTTTAAAAATGACAAGAGCAAAACTTGGCAAGCAAATCTTCGTCTTATCTCAAAGTTTGATACTGTTGAAGACTTTTGGGCGTAAGTAAAGATGCTTCAGTCCATGTAATAATCCAGGCATATGTTGGCAAAGCTAATGTGAAAGTAAAAGCCCAAAGTACTCAATTAACTGCGATTTTATGGGTGTAATCTGAAATGTTTGCAAAATGGAAAGTGACATGTAGCATATTTCTCAGAATGTGGTAGAATTTAACCCTTGAAGAAAATGTGATTGAGGTTCTTCATACTTTAAATGCATATTGTTTTGCTGTTAACACTTCAGCATTGCTTATATTCATATATACATGTAGAAAATTACATTTTGTGTGGTATCTTATCTCATAGTAACATAAACTTGTAAATGATTGTAGCCAACTGATTGGCGCTTCCTTGGTGCCAGATTGTGCTAGCTGGTTAAAGTCTCAGAAGGAGACATGGTGTTTTAGTGGAATAATAAGATCCATCAGTGACCCTTTAGCACCAACAGGAAAGAAATAAAGATACTGAAAATGTTGAGCAAGTATTTCTCAGTGCAGTCCTCAGAGGGAGAGAAATAGGATTCTGTGCTTGTAACCAACTTTCCTATTCCTACTATGGAGGTAGCAGTCTTGGGGTATGTGATGGGCAGCTAAATTGTTTGAAGCTCATTGTTAAAGTTGGCTAAGGGTAAGTTTTTAAGCTTCTATAAGAGTCTGAGCAGCTAAAAGTGCTTTATCCAGACATTTGCAGTGAGGAAGGCATAAAATTAGTCACAAGCAATTGAAGTTATGCCTCTATTGTAGTCAGAGTGGGAAATAGTTGTATTGTTCTGGGGAGAAAGTGTTAAGGTCAACTTAAAGGAGGGAAGCTGGTCAATCTGTAAGTGGCTTTGTAAATTCCAGTGCCTGATCTCTGATTGTTAGAACATCACAGTAACTCATTTTCTTTTTTGGTGCTGGACAATGCCTGAAAGTTAGGCATGAATGAATGGTTTTGGCTAGAGGTTACTGTGATATGTGCAGACCTTCTTCTGAAGTCTTAACAGTGCAGGTAAAAAAAACCCAAACATTCCTCCTCTTGCTAGGGGAGGAAACAGTATGTACTGCTATGATCTGCTTTGAAATGCATAGCTGTGAATTGAGTTCAGAGTTTATATTTTATATTTATATGTTTGTCATCTCTTCTTACCTTTTATTTTAATAATTCGAATCAGGCTGACAGCCGTTATCCCTAGAAGATTGTATTAAATGGTAAAGTTGAACATTTCTTAAAGATTTCTTTGCAGAGGTAGTAGCCTTAGAAATACAATTGTACTTACTCCATGTATGTGTATGCACAGAATGCACATGCACACAGAACTTTTTGCTATGAAAGTTCAGTGGGTTATGTTTCTAATAACTTTGTTAAAACTTTGGTTAAAAGAAGCATTGGTGTAGGAGCCCAGCAAGTGTTCATAAACCAGTTTCTATTCTGCTTTTTTAAGCCCAGAACATCCTAAAGCCCATGCTTTTATACTGCTGAAAAATACTTCAGAAATAAGGTTGCTTCTGAAATTACTTTAATGCTTTTTAATTTTTGTATTTTGTTCAGTCTTATGTCTTAAGTTCTTAGAATAATTTTGTACCTTAAAATAATACTTAGTTTTAATCTGCTTTTTTCCTTCCGATAGTTTATACAACCATATCCAGCTCTCTAGTAATTTAATGCCTGGTTGTGACTACTCGCTCTTTAAGGTATGCTTGCTAACCTTTTCTCTTCAGTTATGGATATTCAGTGATGGATGGTTTCCTGACTAAGCAAGACACTGTTCAATATTTCATTTCAGGTACTTGGGAATGTCGTAAAGGTATTACTTTCTTACGAAAGTCCCAAATACATGTCCTCTGAAAATCAGGCTGTCACTAGTTCTGAAAATACAAGTACTTGCTTTATAGCACACTTTACTTTTATAACACACAATTCACTTTTAAGTTTGACTGTGTTTGTCTTCATTTTATGTTTGAGGAAATAATTTAAGTGTTAATAACTTTTATAATATTAAAGATTTTCTGGCTCTGTCATTTGGTGTGACATGAAATGAGTAAAAATGTGCAAGTTCTGTGGGAGGCTGCAGTGTTCTCCAGTACTCAAAGAACAGATGCAGCCTCCCACAGATGCACAATGCACATACTAGGCAGATGCACAATACTCTTCTGATTTTTACACCATGAGTTAAATGCTGTATCACTTGTGCATAAAATGCAAAATTATACCCAACACTGACCACTTTAAAACAGGCTGAGGAAGTGTTCAAAGCAGCGAATAGGAAATGCTGATGAAAGTGTACATGAAATCCTGCTTTAGCTGGAGTAGAATACTGAACTGGAGCTCTGAATTAAATCCTGACCTCTCTGAAGTGCTTCTAACATACAGCTTCCTTTCTGAATATCTAAATAATCCCTTAAATCATGGTGGCTGGTTAAAACACTCCTTTGCTGATAAAACATAGGTCCTGGCTGGACCTCTTCAGAGGACTATGTCCTCAGAGGACTGTGTACATAGTTTGTAAACCCCAGCAGCTGTAGGTATAGTGATGCTTGGGTTTGAGAAGGTAATGGTATTTTAGGTGACTGAAAAACCTTGCTAGTAAATTTTAAGAAGCTGTAAGCCCTTCAAAGGTTGGAATATCTATGGATCATACTTGTATTTTTTTTTTTGCAAGGATCCTAAATTTGTTATAACTGTGTTTGCTTAGCAATAATTAAATTATTTAAATGCACGGAACAGGAACAGAATTGGCAACTGCTGCAGACTTCTGAGCAATTTCTTGCTCTTGTCCTTCAATTGTGACCTCGTAAGAGTACCTCTTAAATTTAAATGCCCTCACTGGCAGCTGCAGAGCTCAAACTATGTCATCACCTTTAAAAGTGAGCTGACACCACTTCATCCTGCATGTTGAACACTTAATTAGCTTTCAGCCAAAGTTATGTAGTGCGACTCTTTTCACAGACAGTTCTTTACTGAATTTCTGTCTAGACAGTTACCTGCTTTTTTAATGACTGGCTGTTCAGAAGTGCAGCATAGCTGTTGGATATGGGAGAGGCAGCTGGCTGCTTTGCTGGCTCAGCATATCCAGAGTCACTTAGTGAAGGGCCATTGGTAAAGCATTAATCAAAATGAAACTTGCTTCTGTATGGTGTGTTGATTTTTATTTATTTTTATTTTTCTCCTGTGGCCCTGACAGTTAAAACCCTTTTATTCTCACTGTGTGTATGCAGGAAGTTGCTGAGATAGACTGCCAGGGGTGTCCGTTTCAGTGCAGTAATCTTAATGCATAAGCGAAGCACTTGGCCAGTGTTGTACCGAGTCCAAGACTTAAAATAAGGACTTCAGAATGTAGCTGCTAATTTTGTCTGGTTTTATACAGGCCTGTTCCCTCAGGGCTTTTTTTTATGTGGTGGTGTGTAGCCAAAACTTGCCTGGGTTGTGATTCTTCTGTAGAAATCATAGAATCATAGAAATAATTCATTAGCGAAAGTGCACTTGCTAATCTGTTTTGAAACTTTGGTACTGGTGCAAGACAGTATTTCTGGACACATATGTATCTGAAACAATGCACTTTTTTCTGAAGTTACTGATTCAGTTATTGCTGGCCTTTTGGTTATTCTTTAGGAAAAATACAGATCAGATCTGATTTAACTTCTAGCTGTTCTTTGCAGGATGGGATTGAACCCATGTGGGAAGATGAAAAGAACAAGCGAGGAGGACGGTGGCTAATTACACTAAACAAACAGCAGAGGCGAAGTGACCTTGATCGCTTCTGGCTAGAGACAGTAAGCACTATGGCCTTACAAGTTGCAACGGAAGAATCTTGCATTTGTATTTAATACTTTAACTGGTTTGTTCTTTCTGTGTGCCACACACAGACTTCTGGCTTCCTGGCAGCATAGTGTCCTGTAAGTTTTTATTGACAGGTTTTCAGTAGTGATGTTTAATGTAGTTCTGTTCTGTTGAATACTTATTATAGTGGGCAGCAGAAGTGAGAGTTCTACAGGATAGATTAACCTTTTCCTGTGGCTTGTACAGAACAGCTGTTGAGCTGCTGGGAAAATGATACAGTCCTGAATGTCAAGACTCCCAGATTTGTCTGCTTAAGTGTAACAATTTGTTTACAAGTATTTGTAAATAAGAATAGTTTATTTGTAAATAAGAACAGTTTCCAGGTTTTGGTCCTCCTGAAGGGAGGGAGTTTAGTTTTGTTTTTGTTCTTTCTGTACTTACCTTAACACTAGGATAGACAAGTAGTAGCACAGTCTTCCTGTATGTACACTATAATAATAATACTGTCCATTGCTGTTATCTCTGGAATAGATTTTTCTGAATGGTAAATATACTTCTAGACATTGCAGGTTGCAGTATGTGTCTTGTAGAAAAGAATTGTACTGTCGAGGGGCTGACTCAGCTTAGCCTAAAACAGTCTAGTGTGTTCTGGGTCTTAGGGCATGAATTGCAGACATTACAAGGGAAAGCAATCTTACCACATCTCTTGATCTTTTTTTCCTCTGCTTGCATGAGGTACAAGAAGTACTGCACCCCTTTGAAAGGGAGGAGTGGCCTTCAGGATCAAAGCAAGAGGTGTCTAAAATACCAGAGCTATTAGGAACTTTCTAGATCTCTAGTAGTGATTTGAAGAAAGGATTGTGACCAGTATACTACTAGGCAATATGACTGCACATGAGAAAATTAGTGTCTTGCTGTGTGCTTTTGGCTTCTCCATAAGTGCCTGTATGAGTCCTTCTGATTCTTAACAGGCATTACATGCAAACTGGAAACATGACTTAAGGCTAGAGGGCTCTGCTTTTTGTTTAGCAGCAAGCAGTAGGAGAGAGCCCAAATACCTGTGACTCGGATGTCTGCTCTAAAACAACCCTGTCACTTGTAATTACTAGTAACCAACTTCCACCAATAAAAATCAAAGCCCTTTATCAGTTCCCTGTGCAACAAATGTAATGTAATGATCCTTGCTGTTTTTAACTATAAACCTTATTTGGGAAGACTTTTCCTCTTTTTGCATAGCATTCATTAAGAATGTACTTGACTGTAGTGTTCACTGAGCATGGTAGTCATCTTTGCTTGCATATGTACTAAGGCCGATCAGTATTTTGAATAGTTATGCGTAGTTTAAACTTAAACATTTGACTTTTCTTACTGAGTGAGTATGTGCAGCCTGCAATTGGGTGTAACATTTAAAGTATGTGTAGTTATACCTGATTTATTCAGCAGCACACTTTGTCCTGTCCATTTTTTATTGCCATGAGGAAGTCAGACCTTGCAACTTTCACAGGTACTGAAAGGCCTGCTTTGTTGAAAGAGCTGCAAATGTATTGAATTTCCAAATGTTAAACAAGTAAATCTGGAAAGGAAAGTTACTATACTGGTATCATGTTTAATGTACTGTGCAGGTGAAGTAAACAAGTGTCCATTTGGAGATTAATACTTCAGTGTGCAGAAGGATTTTTAATTCAGCATGGCCTAGATGAATCTCTTAACCATGAGAAATTCTCATCTTTGAATATCTAAATTTGCTTGTTTTACAAGTAGCACGTTGAAGAATTTAAATATCACTTCCACAGTTAGCACAGTTACCAGGATGAGTCCTAAACTCGGTCTGATGTTCCACTTTTGCCAACTCTTAGCTTTACCGCTAGAAACTGATAGAGGAAGAATCTTGTGTTACTTGTACAGTTGTATTGTTGCAGTTGGGTATGCACTGTTCAGGATGATTGATTTCCACTTCAGAGTCTGTGGGAATTCCTGAGTGTATTGATAGGAAGTAACACTTCATTAGACAGCACTTTTCATCTAAGTTGCAGTCTGATTTGCATCAAATTGATACACTTCAGAATTTAAATTGGACCTTACATAGATGACACATTGCCCAAGTTTTTCTTCACAGGTTCTTCCTAGGTAGTGAATGTAGGCGCATTAAAGTTCAGGGTTTTCTATCAGTGTTAAACATACTGTAGAAGGAAAAATAAATTTCTTGAATTCTGTCATGGTTTTGGATTGGAAGGATGGGTGGGAGGCAGCACTACATTAAATGGTCAGCTGTGTCAGAACTTGCAGGTACTGGGCCAGGAGAAGAGATGGAAAACTCAACATAGGAGTTCCACAGTTGATTTTAAGTTCTCTTGCAACACTTGGAATTTCAGGAAGAGATTGCAATAAACAGAAGATGATTGCTGCATGGCAAGTGGCTATAAGAAATAAAATGTATTCTTCAGTCCTTTGCATACACTGTTTGCCTGTGGAGCAGGATTCTGACTTGTAATGCCCCTTCTAATGGTTAATCTTTGTTTTGTAGCTGCTGTGCCTTATTGGAGAGTCATTTGATGACTACAGTGATGATGTATGTGGTGCTGTTGTTAATGTTAGAACTAAGGGTGATAAAATAGCAATATGGACAACTGAATGTGAAAACAGGGATGCTGTTACACATATAGGGTAAGTAAAGTGTTTGGTGTCTTGAACATATGAAATATAATAATGCATTTAAAGCCAGCTAACTTTATAGAGAATGCACTTCAGGCAAATGTAGCCTTTAATAGCATGGTGTGGTCTTCATTACTGTTAGCAACAGTAATCATCTCAAATTATCTGGAGACTGCAGTATGGAAAATACATGTCGTGCTCTGTTATTTAGCAAATATTGTTAAGCTGATGTGTTTTTTATGCTGTAGTTTTAATGCTTCAGAATTACTTGCTGTTAAAGTCAGTCATTGTAGGCCACTTAACCTATGCAAATTCGTGAAAATATTTCTCTTCCCAGCTTAGGACATCTGTCTTAGGTCAAACTTTTAACTGACAGGCATAGTAACTTGCTAACATTTTTGCTTATTGGGTGGCTCTCGACGCATTCCTCATTTGGACCTTTAAAAAATCTCTTGGGGTCTGCATTAACAATTTTATTATATGATCATGTTCAGATTTGAAAGGTAAGTGTCTAACAACAAACAAACAGGATTGTGGAACATATCATTTGTTATTAGAGAATAACCTTGCATCAAGCCTAAAAGGCATCAGAAGATTTTTAGAATGGTACTAAACATTAACCTAAGGAGGTAACCTGGCTCTGTTAGAGAACTGTAAAGAAATTAAGATTTTGCAAACTGACTGACACATTGACTAAGGTAAGTTGTGTCACTTACCTGCTGTACCTCGTGTTACATAACTTCACAGACAATAGATCAAGTTTTCATTTAACAGTTAAAGTCGTAGTAAGCTGTGGTTCTGTGAACTGCTCCATTATGATTAAGTTGGAGAAAACCCCCAAATTCTTGTAGTTTTGTTAATCTGCAGTTGAGCAGGCTTGTCCTGTGGTTTAGTCAGCCCTTGCAGCCTACTGTCATTAGTGGCTTGCTTCTCATTCACTGCTAAGGAATGCTCTGTTTGTAAGGTGTGTGCTGCTGCTTCTTTTTCTTACAGCATGAGATCCAAGGTGATTTTTCTTAAAAGCCCCTGTTGGGTAGCTGCCCATGACCAGCTACCAAGAGAGCAGACCATGGGGGGCTGCCCTCTACCAGTAGGTAAAGAAAATACAGCAAGTCTCTGCAACCGAAACGTGTGTGGTGACTGTTCCAGGGAATTGCTGTTTTATTAGGTTCAAGTGGCTTCATCATTTCAGTAGTGGGAATTGTGGACTGTGACTACTTCATAGCTGTTTTCTGTATGTGGGAATAAGGCTTGCTGATACTGATGATATTCACATGAATGCAGTGGAATCCTTGCGTTTGACATTTATGTAGGCCTGTTAAATACTTTTCTGGCAAGACCTTGTCCTATTTTATATTGTAAGTCATTGTTCGTACAGAACTATAACCTGATTTTTAGTTGCAATAACCTAAAAAAATCATGGTTCAAGGCCTTTATTCATACCTGAGAGATTGCTTCTAAATAGGCAACTTTTTTTAATGAAGGTGTCAGCAGATCTTAAAAGCAGGTGTCTTGGTACTAATGCCTTCCTAAGGGCTTAAACTATTTTTCTGTTTCTTTTCTCCAGGAGAGTATACAAAGAAAGATTAGGACTTCCTCCAAAGATAGTGATTGGTTATCAGTCCCATGCAGACACAGCTACTAAGAGCGGCTCCACCACTAAAAATAGGTTTGTTGTTTAAGACGACACCTTCCGAGTATTCTTTCATAGGAGACTGCGTCAAGCAATCGAGAGTTGGGAGCTGAACCAAAGCCTCTTCAAAAGCAGAGTGGACTACATTTAAATTTGATTTCCATCTAAGTGTTGCTAAGATTTGTGAGAAGTCTCATTCGCCTTTGTCTTGTACTTCTGTGTTCCATCTTTTGTTTTTTTCTTTTGTTTTTTTGTTGTTTTTTTTTTCCTCCTCTATTTTGGCTGAAGTAACCATTTCCAATCAGAACTTGAGTACACTTCACCCCTCAATTCATTAATGTTTTCCTGGCCCACTCTGTAATAGCTTGATAGAAACATTACTATTACAAGGAAAAAATAGTTTATCCACAGTATTGAGAAAAGAAGATGCATTTCTGTACCTGCAGGAAATTACTCTGTTTTACATTTGCATTGTATGCAGTAACATTTTGCTGGTTTGGAAAAAGAGTATGGTGCATACAGTTTTCTAGCAATTTTTTTTTATACAGCATCACCTTTGCTGTAACGTATGCTGATGGCTGCTAGATTAATTTATTTGTTTTCCCTATTTGCTAACATTAGTGATATTTTGATTTCAGTTGGTTTTGCTCTTGTAACATTTGGTGAAGAATATGGGAATATGACAAAGGTGGAATAAACATTAATTTTGTGCATTCTTTGGTAATTTTTTTGGTTTTTTTGTAACATCAAAGCTTTGCTACAAATTTATGCATTTCAGTCCAATCGGTGATCTGTTTGTGTGATTTCCTAAACATAATTGTGGATTTTTTTTTAATGTAACACCATAATTTACATTCCTTACTAGAAATAGTATGTCTGGTTTTGTATCTTATGCTGTATTTTAACACTTTGTATTACTTAGGTTATTTTGCTTTGGTTAAAATGGCTCGAGTAGAAAAGCGGTCCCATTCATATTAAGACAGTGTACAAAACTGTAAATAAAATGTGTACAGTGAATTGTCTTTTAGACAACTAGATTTGTCCTTTTATTTCTCCATCTATACAGCAAGTATTTGTACCTCTTGTGACAAGGCAGTCTCTACTGTGGCTTCTATTGTAGTATCTTCCAAGAAAGATGAATTCTGGAGCTATAGTATGTTGAAACTTCTAATAAATCTGTTAGCTAGCACCCTAAATCAAAGTGAAATTATGTTGATGTGGTTACTGTTTTTTCCTAGTGGTTGGTCTAATTGACGGTTTGCATTCTTTCTCTTTTGACTTTCGTTTATGCCAACCAAGAAATCCAAGGGTACATAGAAAGCTGTCTAGTGTCAGGTAGAAACTACACTAAAAGCACTTGAGTGATTCTACTTTAAGTATGTAGTTCTTATATGAAGTACAAGTAGAGTGCGCTAGAGACATGGCTACAAGGTAAAAGTATACGAGGATCTAGATAGTCTGCTGTTACGTATATCTTAGAATGGAATTTAAACTTCCATTGGCTTGAAAGTTTCTGTGGGATCTGCAAGTTTCCTTGACTTGCAGGATTGGGGGAGGATCTTAAAGGCTGTTGAGTTAACTTCTTGTCTTGAACACGAGAGAGGCTTTTTCTTTCCACTCTTTTAAAGAGCTTTATTGCTAATTTCTTATTTTTAGTGTGTGATATACTTTAAGATCTTGCCAGGGCTATGTAGCCTTTCTTGAGATAAACTTAAAGGCAAATGCTTGTTTGGCTTTTGATCTTTGTGATAATTCCTTAAAGCAAGTTTAGTCACTGTGGACAGTGAAGCTTCAGTTGGATCAGGCTTTTAAATCCTCCTGATTAATGCGCTGAAGTATTTTTGTGAGCTAAAGTGTACTTGAATACTTTCTTGCACATTTTTTCCAAAATGTGACATAAATAGCATGTCAGACTATACAGAAAAGGTATTGCATTAACTTTGGATCATTATGTCCAATAGAAACACTTCCAGTAGGCGTGTCTAGCCAATGGTACTATGTCTTTAATACTGGTCACTAACTGGGATAGATGTTAGATGTGGAGAGAGTGGTTAGGCTGTTTCTATGCTGGTCTCTCTGGATTCTGGTGTAACTGATCGCCTTCCCTGATTCTGCGGGTGGGCAGAGCCAGCTGGATTTATTAGGGCCATTCATGATAGAAAATAGCAGTCACTGCCTGTTCTCCGGTTTACCGTTTCAGTTTATCATCTTTGCAATTGAAGTAAGCTCTTTGAACTAGATTTCTCTGAACTACTATACCATCAGTTTCAAGCTGAGTAGACTCTGTAATTTGGGAGTACTGGTGCAAGGCTCACTATAAAGTGTGTAACAAGGTAGAGCTGCCATTCTGTGAAGAGTGTTCAGATTGAGTGCTGTTGTGAGAAGTACATAGTAATGGGTTTGTTTCATTTCACTACAAGACTGACTGGAATATTGTTGAGGATAGCAGCATTTTTGTTAACCCAGAAAAGTGATTGATATTTTCTTGGTATAGTCTCAAGGTTTTGAGCCTGAGCCTATTTAAGCAGCCAACTGACTTGCACTGCAATATGAGAATTGCAAGTAGGTTGATTTGAGGCTTGTCACTGCTTCAGGTAACAAATGCTGTGTTTCTAGAAGACTTGAGTGAAAATTATACATACTTGTTTTATCAAATAAATAACCTATGCCTTTAATTCACTGCTAGAAGTAGCAAGTGGCCATGAACGTAGTGTTCTCCAACTTGCACATCACTTTGTGCTGCATACTAATGTTCTTCTGATTATAATGGTGTGGTTTGTGTTCTTACACAATGGGAGAAAGCCGAGAGCTCTCCATTCTTGTATTAATAAAATGGTCACAGGCTCTCGAGAGGAAAAAGCAGTAAATGTTAAGTATCTAGTTTTGGTACAAAATACCTGGCATCATTAAACTTCCAGCTAAGTGGGTAGCCATGGTGAATGTGTGGTTTAGTAACCCTGAGAAAACTAAAGAATAAATGTCTGAAGCTTCTATTCAGAAGTGGTTCTGTATGGTACCAAACCAGAAGAGCAAGGAAAGCAGAAACTTGCTGTTTTTGAAGAGGTATCAGAATGTGCCCAAATATACCTGGGAAGAAGGGGCAACAGATAGGGAATAGTTGTGAATTAACAGCTTCTGGGTGTACTGCAGTCTTGGGCTGTGCAATGCTTTTCATTGTCACTTTGTTTTGTCATCCTGCAGTGTCTCTGTCTTGTGTTTCGGGCTGTCTCTAGCTCAGGAAATTTAATGTTACTCAAAATCTGGGAACTTGGAATAGCGGCTTTTTACAAAGCTTGGACTGAGCTCAAAACTTCATATTACCTAATGGGATTTTTTTTTCCTATAGAGATGCTTGGAAAAACTGTTCTGGACTCCATGGGACCCATACTAAAAGGAAAGAATCCATTGCATTTCAGCTTAGTAAAGTGACATGGATCTTCCCTCTGATATGTGACCTCTCTTGTTCCAGGAAGTGTTACTTTTGAGTCTAGGACCGATGGTTTTAAACCCAGATTTCTAAGAACATCCTGCACTGAAGTACTAACCAAATAGTTGAACTTAATAGTTAAACCCACAGACCTTTCAAGCTGCCTAGCACTTAACTTGTGGATGACTGTGTCTGCTTCAGAACAGTCAGTAGTTTCTGCAAATTGTTTTTTGCAAGTAGTTTTTAGGTTAGCCTTATTTAATGCAGAATTTGTGCCTTTTCATTGGGCAACAAACAGACATGAAATGACAAATGAAAATGACATCACCAGTAAGGTAATAGTTTCTGCATATTTCACATTGAGACATTTCATACCTGTCTATTGAAACTAGACTTGGAGAGCAGGGGTGCAGGGTGTATCAGCCAGCAGTGTGGAACAGTCCTGGCAGTTGAGGACACCTGCTGGGCCTCTCCATCATTTCAAATCTCCAGAAGCTGTTAAATGTGGAAGACTTTATTATATCTTGGTCTCTTTGCAGGACATTTGTTGTTGTAGCTGCTTGAACAGACTTTCTGCCTTTTAGCTCTTAAAGTTTTTGTATTCCACCAGGATTGGTGGCACTGCCACAAAGGCACTGCAGCAATGCCTTTAATAAGCACTTAAATTCCTTCCCCTGTGATGAAAACCACGGTCACTTCTGCTCCTGCCTGGTGGCTGCCTGGCACTTTCCTAAAAGACTATGGGATGCCCTGCTAGCCTTCCTGTCTTGAAATAAAGCAGGTTTTGATGTCCAGAGCTAAATGTGAATTGTGGCTGAGGACATGATGATTGTTACGCCCTTAGCATTAACTTGTTTTGTGTGATGCCTTAAATGTAAACACATCCTAGCTGGAGTCAGTCTGTTGGTACCGGTTTGCCTGCTAACCAAATGTAACTCAGATTTACATTATTTTCTTTACTATTATTCCCTGCTAGTGCTGAGTGTGTGACAAGCTTAGCTGTGAATTTGTGGGGTTTGTGACTGCCTGTGCTTTCCCATCTCAGTTTTTCTAAATCCTGATACTTTTCAAGCTTTATTAAAATATATTTAATAAAGGGAAAAATTATCACTGAGTCTAGTTACTGCTTCTTTTGGTCACTGATACCATGGAGGATTACAGGTGTTGCTAAACACAGATACAGGCTGTGTGTGACTTCTTTGGCATAATATTCTTCTTTATGGGATTTTCACTTTTTTTTTTATCTCTAGCCATGTAAGTATAACAGGGAAAATGATACTTGAAAATGTGTGTGAATATATCGTACATAAAGAAAAAAAATGACTCATTTATTTTTTCTATTTTTTTTTCAAAGTAGAAAACTTGTTATTTCTAAAAGGTTTCTTTGACTTTATGTAACTAATGATTGGGTTTTGCTTTCAATAGGTAGTTGAATTTTTTCCTTATGTTGTGTCTATTAATGTTATTGAGGAATTGGAGCCAACCTCATAGGTAAGGTTTGGTGTTCTTTGAAGAAAAGCTAGTTTTTGAGCCTTCCTCTGTATGTATAGGGTAGTTCCCATAGTGCATCTCGCCCTGAGCCATACAAATATGCAGAACGTATAATGGGAAATTGGAAGGTATGACTTTATTTCTGTAGCTTGAACAAAAATAAAGCTTCTGAGGAACTGAATGTCTCAGCTTCTTGACTCTGAATGGGATGTAGAGAAATGCAGATCAAGGATGAATGAGTAAGGCTCTACTTTGAAATGTGTGTTCACTCTTCAGTTTGAAGTTTGTGAGTAGCTGGGGCTTCTGCAGCTCACCCACAGATCAGCCTTGTTCTAAACAAAAGTTAAGTAGCACAGTTGCAGTGATACTGCTGACTGCTCTTCCCTTGTTTGCCATTTTCCACAATAGCAAAGTCATCTGAATATGTTTGTATAGTGGTCCTACGGTTAGAAGGTTGCATATAATCTCCTAATAGGAGCTCCTCTGTTCCTTTTGTAACACCTTATTGATATTAAACAGCTGGAGGCAGTACCCTGAGCTTGCAGGAGGGGTTTTAGTCTGGATTACCCATTACAGGTTTTAAGTCCAGAAATATATGGAGATATTCAAGGCCCGCCTGGACAAGTTCCTGTGTGATGTACTCTAGGTTACCCTGCTCTTGCAGGAGGGTTGGACTAGATGATCTTTTGAGGTCCCTTCCAACCCTTAGGATTCTGTGATTCTGTGAAATAAATTGACTAGGTACATCATTGTGCAGCTGTACACTTAATACTGGAGACTTTTAGGTATATACTCTCTTACACTGAAGATTTTTTGGGATACAAGAGCAGATGTTTGATTTTACTGCAGTTCATCTTCTGCATTTGAAATGGGAGTGTTCCTGTGTAGTGGGGAAATGGTGACTACTGACTGCCACAGGTGGAGGTGCTGCTTCAAAGCTTCCCTGGACCTCGAAAATTCGGCCTTGAGTTCATTCCCTAAAGGCAAAGGAGAAATACCTGTAGGCTGCCATCTGCAGGTAGATGCATTCCAGCTAAGTTGGGTAAAACAATGCTTAAAAGGCCTCTGAAGTCTCTATTCATCAGTAGAGGTTAACTTCCCTGTACACACAAACTGCGGGTGATGCCAGTTTTCTTCAGTAAGCTTGTGCTTGAGAGATGAGGTTCTAATTTCTGCCTTTCCAGGTAACCTCCTCCAACTGTACTTATATTGCAATGTACAAACATGCTCGTGGTTCTGGTGCAAGTGATGTTACTGCAGTAGCCCTGTCACTTGCATGAGTTTTAACATTGTGATGCAGTCCAGGATGAGCAGTCATGTGAAAGTCTAGGTGTTCTGACAAAACATGATTAATTCCGAATTGAACACAATCCCAGCAGCCTTTATTATGCTCTTGAGACTACATCTTAATTGCACTGAAGTGCATGGTTTAGGGTTATCTCCAGTAAAATTCCCTTGAGGTAAGTCAAGTCTGCTCCTCATCTTTTTTTTTTGAGAGCTTCTCTAGGTTTGAACAACAGAGACTTGGCTTTTCTGAAGTGCTGTTGTGTTATGTACCTTCAGTATAACATAGGTGGGTTTCAGCTATAGCCTGGGTCTGCCTTCCTGTCCCTGTGAGGAAGAAGTCACTCAAATTTGCATCAGAACTGGCATGTGTCAGGAAGGGAATAAAATGCTTTGGCCATGAGAGCTATTCGCAGCGAGATCATTTGCTGGCTCTCCTGTGCCCGGCTGCTGCGCCTTGCAGTGCTGAGCCTGATATTTGTAAGGTTTGTACAGATGCTTTACTATGCTTGAGTATGCTGCTGGCTTAAAAAGCATAGTTTCTTCCCCATGTTTTGTCAGTTTTGAGAGGAACAGCATGGAACAGTGGAACAGCTCCTGCTGGAGCTAAGAGATCAACCCAAAATACTGTAAAAATCTGTAGGTTTTCCCCATAACATTGTAATTGCTCCTTTCTGTACATCTGACCTAAATACTGTGAACATTTCACGGAAACATTGGCAAATCTGATAGTCTTCTATGATGACATGGCAGGGTGAGTCAGTGAGGGGAGAGCAGTGCATGTTACCTACCTCAGCTTCAACAAGGCTTTCAACCCCATCTCCCATAACATCCTCACAGTTAAGCTTAGGAAATGGGGGTTAGGTTAAGACAGGTGGATTGAGAACTGGCTGCATGCCCGAGCTCAGAGGGTTGTGACCAGTGGAGTGGAATGCATTTGGATGCCTGTAATCAGTGGTGTTCCGCAGGTGTCAATACTGGGTCCAGTCTTACTTGACTTGTGGTGGCCCTGCCTTGGTAGGGGGTTGGGCAGGATGATCTCCAGAGGTGGCTGTGATTTGATACCTTGCTCTGCATGTTCCAGGGGTAGTATCAGCTGTGCCCTTTCAATTGGTACAGTTTTGCCACAGTAGCAGAAGAGCCCTTAGTGTGAGATGGGCAGTGCACAGTGCTCTCTTGGACTGGGGAGCTGCCTCTAGAGGGTGTTCGCACCAGCCCGAGTTCCTCAAGCACTGGGCTTTTCCCAGCTGCCTTTGTCATGCACTTTCTCTTCAGGTAGTCTTTTCCTTAGTTAAAATACAGCTGCTGGGCTGTAAGCAATGAAAAGTCTTTTACTGGATGTAAAGTTTCAAAACAGCTCCGAGGCTTAGCACGTGTGAGCTGTTCTGTACCTTGTAATGGCGTTAGGGGATGGATGACTTCCACTGCATAATCCCAACATTAATTCCAGAGAGAAAACAAGTATTAATGGTGGTGATGAAGACAAATTGAAGGCAGCTGAGCCAAAGCATTTCCCTGGGCAATGTGCAGACGCTGAACCTGAAATCAAACTTGACAGAGATTGAAAAGATTGAGTTTCTTTTGAAAAGGATTTGATGCCAACCTCAATCCTTTTGATAGAGATGAGGTAGCTACTTTACCACTTGCTTACCTTTGCCCCATGCTGTTCCCTTACTAAAGCAGGCAGCAATCAGAGTTAGTGAAATGGCTTTGTTGGATGGGACAGGTCATATTTTCCAGGTTGTAGTATGAGCTCTCCCTTGAGCTTGACACAATTGACTGTAGAGGCCTTTTAACTGCAGAAGACTAAATGTGGGTGGAAATAAGCTTGCAGCTCTGTGCTACAAAGTCCCTGTGTAAACATCAGTACTCAACCAGAAAAGAAAAGGCTTTTGCTCTCTAGACAGAGCTTGCCCTAGCATTAAGTCCAGCGTGCTCCTCAGGTGTTAGCAGATGGCTCTGGGTGACATGAGAGTAGGAAAGGCAGAGAAAAACAAGTTTATGTGATTTGCTGATAGTCTGCCTAAGTCCAACAAAGTCTTCATATGTGTGTAGGGCGCAGCCCATGCAATCTCTATGGGCTTCCCTACCTGTCTTCTGTCTCTGTCCTTGTGATATTTTAGAGATTTCAATGGAGTTTGAGATTATTTGTAGAAGGTGAAAGGATTCAGATAAACTGTTACTTTTAAACCTTTTGTTTCAGTCATTTCTTCTTTTTTTTCAAGTGTCACTAAACACTGAATTCTTGTTTTCCAGTCATTTCAGCCCTGTGGCTTCAAGTTCATTTGTTCTCTTCTGCTCTTATCACATTGTTTCCCATGCAGGAAACAGTCATTGACATCTTAAAAATCTTCACCTGTTGGGTGAACAGCAAAGCTTCTGTTGTGCCCGGTCATTAAGCGACACGGGGACAGTCTGTTGTGGTCTAGATTTTGTTGCAGAGGCTATAGGAAAAAGGGGCAGGGATAGGAATGGGTGGTTGGAGAATTCTGTTCTGGATAAAGGAACTCTTCAGTGTCACAAAGCTGGCAGATATTAGGCAGATGCAGCAGGATGATGTGCTCCCTCACATCGGGAGGGAGATGTTGTGCCAGCAGCACAGGCTAGAACAGCTCCAGTCCAGCTGGGCTGCAGATTCCCTCTCTCATTCCAGTGCCATCTCTGCCTTTTGGGCATCCTCCCTTCTCTGCACAAAGAAGAGGGAATGCAGCCATGTATTTCCCTGCAGCAGGCTGTGGATCACACACAAAGGAGTGTTTGAGAGCCTCACCAGGTGTGTGTATCCTTTCCAGATATGCTCTGGAAAGGCTTTGCAGCTGCACCTGTTCCCACCTCCTTTCTGGCTGAAAGGATTGGATGCTAATTCAAGTGCTTGCAAGAGAACATATTCCAGGTGCTGTCCTCCAGCTACAGTCTGCCCTCAAGCAGTAATAAAACACTAACAGAGGATTTCAAGTGGTTAAGCACACATGGAGGTAAGACACTGCCCTACAGCAGCAGGCAGCATGTCCTAAATGAAACCCCACTAAAAACCACAGGCGAAACCAGCCATGCCTCGTGCTTTGCCTTTTCCCAACAGTTGGCATTGTGTTTCCATGTCATGTGTCTAGGATCGCATACAACCTTCCAGGTGGCTTCCTGTACAGCTGTTCATATCTGCCCCAGCAAGAAGGACTTAAAGTGTTTGGAAAAATCAATAGATCTCGGCTGCAGGGGGTTGTGGCGTGAGCTGGTTTTTACACTGAGCCCTTTCGAGAGCTTGTTCCTTTTACCTACTGGCTTTGGATGTGCAAGGGGATACCAACACTGAAAACTGTTCCTGTGCCTTCCCCCACTCCGGAGCAGGAAATGCCATAGGTACAGCAGTTTTCCGCCCATAAACCACGGCAGATATTTTCCCAAGTGTGGGTAGCAGTTTTCAGCATTTAGTTTGATGTGACTGCAGTCTCCCTTCAGTTCAGCAGGACAAAACTGTGGTGTTTTGTGTTCGTGTGGTTGTTATCTGTTACAATGGGTTGTGGTGTAAGTAGTAAAAATGAATTATGTGTAACCATAACTCAGCTGGTTCTGACAGGAATTTTCTCTAATTAAACTTGTGTTCCTTAGGCTGAAATGCCACTAAAAGGGGATACGCTTTACTTTTTTCCATGTGGTGAAATCCAGGGCCTGTTTATTCTTTGGAGACAGTTTAAAAGGCAAAAAATGCCCTAAACACAAGGGTTTCATTACTGCTTGTACAGCAACAAAAAAAGATACTGTATTACTTAGAGTATTCCATGCAGAAAATGTCTTTCTGGCTCACTCGGGAGCCAGGAGCTTTGCTGTTTGCCTTCCTTTGGCACGTACTTGGGTTCTTGGCCGTGCTTACTTTAAACTCAGGGCTGACAGCAAAGGTGT